CATGTAACAGCAGAAACTTGTAATCATCTTTATTCTGAAGTAATCACTAATATGTACGGTCATGGGTGAGACTAAATTTATCTAAATTTATTAATTTCTCGATTTATTTGTAAGATGATCCTTTTAAAGCCCCTGATGGTTAACTGTGCAAAGTCGTGTGTTAGGATGGTGGCGGAAACCGTATTTTACCTGTGTAACGTATGGAGATATTAAAATGTCACGGACGTCTGCGCTTGTCAACAACGGTGGCATGAACCGAAAGGCTTCACTTGTGGTTTTCATATTCAGAAACTGATGGGGTGGGGTCGTAAAACTACCATCGCGTTCAAATTAGAGGTCAGTGAACGGATAATATTCGCGGATCATTCATTTTCGTAAGGTATGGAACTATTCTTGAGGAAATGCGAAAATTCGCCATAAATCTACACGCTCTGGTCATATTCGGTATACGTATATAGTGGCGGATCCAGGACTTCACGGAGGGGGTGGAAAACAGGCGGGGGGTATGGGGGTCCATTAGAATTTAGATAGCAGGAGATGGTGTTTGAGTACATGTAGGCCTACAGCCTTCATCCTGACTACAACAATTCTCTTTTTAGTAGAACAATTCTTGCGCTTGCAGCGCGGCAATGATTGATGTACGGGGGGGGGGGATTATTGAATATGCCTTATGTGATTGCTTAATGTGGAAACTTGGGTGAAACGTGAAGAGGTGGTGGAGGAAGAAGTATGTGGTGATCAGCCGGACCCTGTATTTTTCGTGATTAACGTGCTCGTTTAATTAAGTGCCATAGAAGTATAACATATGATTACTTTTGATAATGACTTTAAATTAGCACTGAAACATACGTACATGCATAACATATACATGCATACCGTACCGTAAAGTAAGATAATATAAGATAAGATAACATAGCATAACATAACAGCATAACGTAACATGTTACCTAAATGCGGTGCAACTTACGAGTCACGGGGAAGAGTCGAACAAAAGAAGGACGAAAAGGAAACTGCATTACTGCAAATAATCAAAATCTATACATCGATTTTGTGATTACCTCTCGTACTCCTTTTACAAAATATATCAGTCTACTAATTCAGTTTAATTTTATTTGGTACTAATTTGCCTATATGATCATTATTTAAAAATAACGAGCTAATCAAAGTTTATAATTTTTTTACTCAATTTTTGACGACCAAAATGCCGGAGAACATACATCCGGTGATCTTTCAGTCTGTTCCGACACGCTGATATAGCTCCCCACTAACACATACATACGAATAGAGTTACGCAAGATAATTTTGGCTCTCGTCCCTGAAGATATGCACCCCTTATTCCATTATTGGCAAGCGGACAGCATGCCGTACGCTTTCATCAATATTCCTATATATAGTTTGCGAATCAGCATTCATTATTGCATTATTGACTGACCTACCCGAATCCCAGGCGAAAATATTAGTTTAAGCATGTCCTGTTAAGTAACTCTCAAACGATCAGTTGCCGTCAGGGAGACTCGTGCGTAGCATTGTGCGTGCTCTATAATATTTCCGGTTGCCACTTGGCGAAGCTGCTGACACATGACATCACCGCTAATCGCTAGTCGCGACATTAAGTCGCATTGCCATTATCCAACGTAAGGGCGCCAGCGGGTTGATCACAACGTTAGGCCGCTGCCGCGATAGCTCGCGAGGTGCCGATTTCCGCATCACTGTCGCGAAGTTGGCTTATGTCGTATAATTCGGACAGGAGTCTTCGTGGCTACGCTGCGAGTATTGCTCACAGACTGTTTATACCTGCCGGCGATGTATGCTCCTATAAACACGAATCACTAACGGAAACACGCGAGCAATCTAAACGTTGACAACGACGGCGATAGACAGCCAGGCGGACCCCAAACCGTAGCGCTACGAAAGTTTCCCGTTACATATCTCTCCTCATCACCTGCCCTTCGTAGTTTTACCAACCGTGGGCTCTGAGCATTCGGAGAAAATGTGTGTACTTTTTACGAAATTTACTACCCTCGGTACTCAGTTTCGGCGACGTAAAGTAATTAAAAAATATAACTGACTGTTACGTATACGTATGATACAGAGAAATGCGCGTCGGCGTTTTGGTTGGAACTGCGCAACTGTCTCTTTCCCTCCCTCGCTCTTTCTCTCTCTCTCTCTCTATCCGCCCATCTCACTGTCTCTCACGCTATCTATCTCTCTGTCTCCCGCTCTCTCTCCCTCTATCTATCTATCTATCTATCTTATTCTTA